TGACCGCTCGAGCGATCCGCCAAATTCCACTGTCACACCTCAGCTACTAGACTACGACAAGTATTGCCTTTGCAAGTTCCCTTAGGTACTTTGTCGCAGAGGTGCCATTTGGATCCAGTAGGTCGGACCTAGTTTGGCCTTTTGATTGGCCCATTTTTCTTAGGGTTTTGCCTCAATTCTTTTAATCATAATTTCTCCTCTGATTAATGCGATCTTGGAGGTTAGATCAATACTTGGGATTTTTGTCTCTCTACACTTGGATAACGCACTCGCTTTCCACATGGAAGAGTAGGGTTCGACACTTGAGGGTGCGCTCTTCAGAGATCGCATTGTACTTCCATCGTTAGACTTTGCCTCCTGTTGTGGGGGTGTGAGTGAGGTCCATTGTTACCTTGGTAGTATGTCACTTCCTATGAATTGGGTTAAATCTGACCATCAACCGGTTATGTCAGAATTAGGGCCTATGGATGCTATGATGCCCCTACGGATGGTCCTTTTTTTGTTAAAAAAAGAAAAAAATTAGCCTTGCAAAACTCTACGTATGGTAAAAAAATGGAACATTAGTAGCAAATTGCTTTTGAGTCCAGCCCTAAATCATCTTTGCATAAATATTTCGACAATAACAAATTAAGATTTTAGGAACAAAATTTAGAGATGAAATACTTTAATTGTCAAATGTATTATTGTTGTATTTTCAGTTATGAAATTAAATATTTAGTGATTAATTCCTATCCAAACTAAAATTTTCATTCCAAAAAAATAATTTGACAAGAAATTATTTTATTCCAAAAAGTAAACTTATTAGTGACATTTCTAAAATTTTGTCATTAAAGGTCCTTATTTTACTTTCAAGGGCAACGGATTCTTGTTGACCTAAGTCACAACAAGTTGTTGTGACACCTTGGTCATGGTTTGTCTAAGGTTTTTTTTTTTTTTTTTTGATAATGCGAACTATTTATATAATAGGATTCATTGAATAGATGCAAAAAATTAAATTGATTAGATATTTTTAGCTCTGTAACAATAGTCCATTTGTTTTTGTATTAGTTTTTTTTTTTAAAGGTCAACATGATCTTGATAATTTTTTTTTAAAAACAATTAGGATTTGATTATGAGATTACGAATTTCCGATTAACTTAATTTTTTGCATAGATTATATAATCAACGAACCCTACAAGATGAAATTTTCATATTATTAAAAGGGATTGGCTTATCTCGAGTTGAGATCTTAACTTGAGAGAACATTTAACCTCGGTAGGCCCATTTTGGAATCAATTTTGATGATCCAAGCCGTTCACTTTTTTAGACTCACTGAGTAGAAGGTTCATGTAAAAAAATCAAAATGATTGGACACTGGTAACTATATATTTGAATCATATTTATTTTTAAAAAAATGGACGACAAATATAATTTTAAGAATAACCATTCATTTTTTGTAATATAAATTTGATTCAAGTATATATAGCTACTGATATCTGATCATCTTATTTTTTGTATGAATATTCTACTCAACAAGTCTTACAAAGTGAACGGTTTGCATCATCAAAACGGGACTTATGATGGGCTCTACAGATCTCTCAAGTTCTCTTATGTTGAGATCCCAAAATGAGAGAAGCTCAATTCTTGGGAGAAACTCCCACCGGGGATACCACAACAGGAACTGTGGTCCACTTTTCAAAGTGGTCTTTTGGTGACGACTCTAGTGACAACATAAATTGGTCTTCTAATTTTTTTTATAACAAAATTTATACTTTTGGAGATAAAAAAATTTAGTCCCTGTAACCTTTTTATATGTTGTTATATTGTACCATTGGAGTTCAAAATCATTCTATGTTTTTTTTTTTCTTCTAGTAAAATGATATAATTACAAAAAATTTATACAAAATTTATGATAAAGAAATGATACGACAATGACATTATTATTGTAGTAGTGTTTATATGTTGTTATATTGGACCATTGGAGTTCAAAATCATTCTTTCTTTTTTTTTTTCTTCTAGTAAAATGATATAATTACAAAAAATTTATACAAATTTATGATAAAGAAATGATATGGCGATGACATTATCAAAAATATAAGTCATTTTGATGGATCTAACAATGACATTATTGAATTCATAAATCATTTTAATGGAACTTTTATTTTTGAAGTGACAAATATATATATATATATATTTTTGCTTACGTATCACTATTTTATTTTTAAGGTATCAACCATATATTTTTTGAATAAACAATCTAGTGAGCAGGTATGGAATTGGAAGTTCGCGAAACACTAATCCAGCTTGGATATTTTTGCCAACTGATTGATCTTTCTTGTTGGAATTGTGGAGCCCTCACGGAATGTTCCTATAGGCCATACCATACTTCTACATAAAGCCATCTATCTATAACTACAACTTCTACGAACAAAGCAAAAATCTATGAACCACGAAAAAACCAAAGGAGCGTGGATTCCTTCCGTCTATAATATGTATTGAAGGGCACTGTTTACATTCCTGAAATTCATTACGGATTTTATATCAATAATCTGAATCGACCATTTACTTAGTCATGCATTTTATTTATATAAAAAAATTTGATCCGATAATTATAATTTATTTAATTTATCACATTTGTAAAAAATAAAATAAAATAGATGGCAATTGTATTTTTAAAAGGGTTGGGCTTCTCTCATGTTGACTATCTCAACTTGAAAGAGTATTTGAGTTTGATAGGTTCATTTTGAGATAGAAGTTGGTATCTGAATCGTTCATTTATGAACCACGAAAAAACCAAAGGAGCGTGGATTCCTTCCGTCTATAATATGTATTGAAGGGCCCTGTTTACATTCCTGAAATTCATCACGGATTTTATATCAATAATCTGAATCGACCATTTACTTAGTCATGCATTTTATTTATATAAAAAAATTTGATCCGATAATTATAATTTATTTAATTTATCACATTTGTAAAAAATAAAATAAAATAGATGGCAATTGTATTTTTAAAAGGGTTGGGCTTCTCTCATGTTGACTATCTCAACTTGAAAGAGTATTTGAGTTTGATAGGTTCATTTTGAGATAGAAGTTGGTATCTGAATCGTTCATTTTTTAAAAATCGTTGAGTAGAATATTTATGCAAAAAATCAAGATAATCAGATATTGATAAGTATATGTTTGAGCTAAATTTGTATTACAAAAAATGAAGGACTATTCTTAAAATTATATTTATCATCAATTTTTTAAAAACAAATATGATTCAGACATATAGTTATCGATGTCCAATCATCTTTATTTTTTGCATGTATTTTTTACTCAACAAGTTCCAAACAGTGAATGATTCAGATCATTGAAATTAGTTCCAAAATGAGTCTACTAAACCCAAACGCTCTCTCAAATTAATACGACAGCTTGAGAGAAACCAAATCTTTTTTAAAAATAAACCCTGGGCAAATTATACTAGTAATCCCTACATTTTACATCTTGTGTGATTTTGGTCCCTACACTTCCAATCGACTCATTTTTTACCCTTAATTTTAAGTAGTGTTAATTTACTACAATTGATAATATCGTTAGTATTTTTTTTTTAAAAAGTTATCATTAAATTGGTTGATATTAACTCACTGAATTGAATAAGTTTATAATTTTACCCTTAAAAGTATGACACATGACACTTATGTCCATATTTTTCATAAAAAATATTAAGAATTGTAATTAATTTGACCAAGTTAATACAAAATCTAAAATTAATGGTTAAAATTAAGTCCATTGGAAATATAGCGATCAAAATAACACAAAGGATAAAATGTACGGACCGCCGCTGTAATTTATCCATAAACCATTCATTATTATTATTACTTTTTTGTGTGACAAACACGATAGATTGAATAGACTATGGCTATTGGATCAACCTAATATTTTTTTGTGGATGAAGTACATGAGGTGCCCAACTAAATGGATGGTTCGGTTAGTTGAAATGGCACCCATGGTGGACCTCAGGGCCTGAATAACGTCTTCCAATATGGATTTCATCCAGTTTGGAAAGGAGGGCGCTGTCCACGAGTCTAGTTTCAATGAGCCAAACTATTCATTTTATCAGATACTTTGTGTATTTCATTTACACAAAAAATTAGATTAATCTGATAATTATAACATATTCAATTTTTCTGTTTGCCACAAAAAAGTAATAATAATAAAAGTCAATTGTGTTTTTGAAAATAAATCATTCAATTTTTTTTACAATATGTCAAAATGGCAAATTTATGATGTATATTTTAAATTGTTATTGTGAGACACTATTAATGAGTCTTAGCATTTGATTCCAAACACTAGACCATTTTTTGGTATTCTTTTCTCAACTCTTAGAACCGCTGAAAAATTAAGCAATGTTGGTGGTAGTCATTTGCCTTTCAAATGAACAATAAAATTGATGGTCATGTATTCTTTTTGGACTTTGTTTATGGGAAGCATAGAAATTCAGATCCTTTTTCATTTTTAAAAATTCATATCAATAAATTTTTATTTTAAATTAAAAAAAATTAAAAGAGAAATTATAAAACTTATAATAAACATATTAATTATAGATAGTTGATTTTGTACTTTGACCTTATGAAATGAAATGGACTATAATTTTTTTTAAAAAATCTAAAATGCTCTTATATTATATTAAGACTGCATTCATTCTGAATGGGTTGTGTGAGTTTTTTTTCTCGAATATGTAACATTAGAGTTTTGTTACAGTTGTTGACTCGATGTTTAGCATAGTTCTGTACATATTGATGCTACTTCGAATGAAATTTTTTGCATTTTTCCTCAATTAAAGTCGGATAATCTAATTTCATTCATTCGATCAAATTACGCTTGAGCTAATAAGATTTCTGCTACCTCATATTGCCATATGTTAACATGGCACTAAGTTTGGAATGTATCTTTAGTCAGAATACAAGCTATGATCTTCTCTTGTTTATAGCAAGTTAGCATAGTAACTTCGAAAGAGAAAATAAACTCAGTATTGCAAACTAGAATAAATTGAAAAATCATCATTTCATAAACTACCAGGAATCAAATACATAATAGCAGGCAAAAAACAAAAAAAAAAAACAAAAAACAAATATAAATTAGAAAAAAAAAGGATGCAAAATAAAAGGTGGCCAGTGGCCTAGAAGGAAAGAACAATCAATAGAGAGATCAGTCTACAACTCATTCATCACAATTTGTTCTAGCCAGCTTATTGAACCTTTCATGAGTTCAGGACTAAGTCTAAACATAAGAACACAAAACTCCTTTTGATTCAACCTCCCATCGCCATCCAAATCGCCTTCTTTTAACATACACTTGAGCTCTTCATCGCTCATATTCTGCAACCCTAACACAGCCGAGTTCTTCTTTAAGCTCTCGAACGTGATGACCCCTTTATCCCCATCCATCAACAACCGAAACCCATTACACAGCTCGTCCATAAATCCTTCGGCACCCAATTTCTCCACCATTGATGGAAAAAAGTCTTCGAACACAACCCCATTTTTCGACGCCATTAATGGGTTGAATGTGAAGTTGGATTTAAAGCTTGGAATTGGATAATGACTTTGGAGATAGATTGAATGGATTTGAGGGGGGGTTAAATAGGAGAATTGGAAGAAGAAGAGTCCTAGGAAAGAGTTGAATAGGGGTGCCAACGAAAGTACAGATAAGAGAGAGGCCAAGGGAAGTTTGTTGTGAGGCACTTTGCTGATTGATTTCATGGGGGGTTTCTTAAGGGTGGGTGCTTGAGGGAGGGTTCTCCTTCCTAGAAATTGCATGGGAAGGTGCCTTTATTTTATCAGTTGCGCGGTCATGGCAGAGCATTTTCCTATGTGGAGAAATATGCTCTGATTGGCCCCCACAAATTACTGAAACCGCCAACGCTTCGTTATTTGGGCGGTAAATAAATATGTATTTATATTTTTTTGTTACAATAAAAAATAAAAATTAATATAAAATATTTTGGAAAATTTAACCATAAGTCCTAGTTTCTGAAAAGTTGAACCATTTAGTCCTAAAAGTTTTCTTATGCTCCATTTAGTCCCATTTGCACATCAATCTAATGTTTGAAACATTAATCTGATGTTCGAAATCTAATGTTCGAAACATTAATCTGATGTTTGAATAAAATACTTTTTATTTTTAAACGGTTTATAATTTGAAATTTATGTCACTTTAATCCCTAACTTTTTAATTGTGATACATTTAATCTTGAATTTTGAATTTTATTTCAAATAAAGACAATTGAAGATATGCTTTTGAAAGGCAAAATCGTCAATTTGATAAAATATAAACTAATTTGACAAAAATAAATTTCAAAAAACTATTTTATGAATTTTTAAAAATGATTTCTATCCAGTAAAGATAAAATTATATAAAATTGATAAATCTTTTAGACATTTATTTTTTTTACCAAATTAATTTTTATTATGTGTTTGGATGATGATATGTAATGAGTGATTTTTTTTATTTTCATTAAATTAGTTTCTATGTTTTCAAAAGTCAAATATGGTGACAATTTTGATATCATTATTAAATTAATCCATTAAATCAAAAATTCAAAATTAGAAATATTTCATATATTAAATATATCAATTATACATTAAAATCCTAATAACCACCCATTACATGATGATCATCCAAACACATAATAAAAATTAATTTGGTAAGAAAAAAATTAATTGTATAAAAGATTTATCAATTTTACATAATTTTATCTGTAGTGAGTAGAAATAATTTTAAAAATTTTAAACATTTTTTTTCGACGTTTATTTTTATCAAATTAGTTTATATTTATCTAATTGACGATTTTACTATTGAAATTAAACAATAGTATTTCAATTGTTCTTATTTAAAGCAAGATTCAAAATTCAGGATAAAGTGACACGAGTCCTAAACTATAAGGACTGTTAGTATAATTTTCCTTTTTAAAAAATAAAAAATATTTTTCAAACTAAAATTTTACTAATATCACTGTATTACAACCGTCATTCTCGCCTCCACCATTACAATACCATCACCACATCCACCATCATCATCGTCGTTGCTGCCACCCCACCACCATGCCATCAACTTTACCTTTGTTCCACCACTACCACTACCAAATATATTTTTTGGAAAAAGTTTTCTGCAAACAATATTTTCCATTAAAAAATATTTTTCATCTAAACAAACGGAACGTAAGTCTATTTGCCAAAAATAAATAAATAAATAAAAAGCATCAGAAATTTAATTAGAATGTGATTGTATTGTGCAGATTGAATTTGTGTTGTGTAAGTCCATATAGATAAATCTAGACCATAAATTGGTAATTGATCTAGGTAGAATTATGGGTGAAAAATCTGGATTTGTAATCTTCGCGTTATTATTTATAGAAAAATTAGATAATATGTAACATTGCCTATGTCATATTCTTATCCAATGAAAAAATTATAACGTTCACTAAGATTGTATTTGAAATATGAATTTTCATTAAAAAATTATAATGAAAAAAAATGAGATAAATGTGAATAAAATACAAATTAAATTCTTTTATTTCTCTTTCTTCTTTTTTTTTTTTCATCTTTATCCAAATTTATAATCTAAAAAAACACTATATAAATAGATCATCATTTATTACCTAAATATTTATCAGAGGTGAATTAGCACCGCCCGTTCATAAAATTAAACTTATCACTAGGTCTTGTTTGTTAATGTTTTTAGTTTTTAATTTACAAAAAATAGAAAATTATTGTTTTGTGTACAAAAATATTTTGAAAATAAATAAAAATAAAAATAGAGAAATATATTTGATAAGTTGCCAGATTTGATGGTCGGATATGGAGGGTAGACGGATGTGGAGACCGCTAGTGGTCGGCTGCTGAAGTGTCCGTCAGAGTTAGTAGTCGGAGTTGTCGGAGGACACAAGATGATTAGAAGGACGTCAAAAGGTAGCCTAAGATCATGACGGTGACTGCCTACCCGTCAAAGAGCTGTCAGAAATTGGCCAGAGCTTGTCACCCATCAACAAAGATGGTGGTGGTGGTGGGTGGTGACCAAAGGTGGTGGGTGAAAGGAGAAAGTTAAAATTTGTTTTAAAAATAAATGAAAATATTTTTTTTATTTTTAAAAATTTAAAAATTAATTTTTTAATTAAAAAAGCGACAATAAAAAATAAGAAACACAAAACATGTGTTTGATTTTGGACTACCACATAGGTAATCCAACATAATACACCTTACCTTACGTATGTGATTTGTCCCACCGAGGGGTGCACGCGTTACAGACAGGGTTTGCCACGTACAAAGGCTGACAAAGGAGGATAATGGGAGATGAGCAATGGATAACAAAAGCTGCAAGCATAACAGCCATTCAGGAAAAATGTTTGGTAGCTCAAAATTTTGTGATTCAAATGGCTCAAATCTGTCAAAACGACGTCGTTTTACACTCAAAATTTGTCAAAACGACGTCGTTTTGAGTGATTTGAGCCATTTGAGCCACAAAATTTTGAGCTACCTAGCATTGTTGACCATTCAGGCATCATACAAAGGGCTGTTTGGGAATGAATTGTTTTAATAATTTTTTAGTTGTCTTATTTTTTTTATGAGGTAAAAAAATTAATGTATTTGAAAATAATTATTTTAACTACATAAAAAAACACGAATACTAGTGTCCATCTACCGCCGATATAGTTGATTTATATATTTTTGATTGATAAAGATTTAATTATGTTATTTGAATTGTGTTTTTAGTGAAATTTCACTGACTCGATCTCTGATTTGCATTGGCTTAAGTTAATGAAATTTCACTGACTTGTATAATTGCACCGGCTTAAATTAGTGAAATTTCACTAAGACTTTGTCAATTTTCGATTGATGCCTGTGAAATTTCACTTGACTTGTGTAATTGCACTAGTTTCAACCCATGAAATTTCTTGAAATTAAGAATCCAACTTTTGCAATTGACCATCATTTTTTTTTTAATCCTTTAGAGTTCCAAAAAAAAAAAAACATTTTTTACTAATTTTGCACGATAAAGTTTCACTGTACAGAGTCAAAGACATTTCACTATATATAATGAAATTTTATTGATTTAATATAGAAAATTTTAAAATTTGTTACTTTAGAACCTTCAATTTGAACCTTTTAGTAATAAATTCAGAATTAAGAACCTAATTTTTGCAACTAATAATCAATTTTAGATTTTCTAGCGTTAAATAATATTTTTTTTACTGATTTTTCACATCAAAATTTCTCACTCTGGACAAAATCAGAGAAATTTCACTGTGACTTAACAACATAGTAAAATTTCATTAATTTTTTTGTTCATAATTTCATGTTACTCATGAATTTTGTTTGAAAAATCTTGTCAATAGGATTCTAAAAATGTAAATTTTATAAAAATGAAGATGTAACTCAAAGTTATTAAATTAAAAATTTTAAAATCACTTAAACAATGTAAAATGTATAATTGTAGGCCTATTTTTGTCCAAAATGATTAACCATTTGTAGGATGACTGGAACTATTATTAAAAAATTATTTGTCCTTATTCTTCTAAAATAATATTAGTAGGAATTTAGGGGGGAAAAAAAAAAAACCAATAATAAACAATGACAAATATGTTCCGATTCAAATAACATCCATTGACATGCCCAGTGCCACCTATAGACAGCCATATGACGGAAAAAAAAAACTGAATTATAGAAGATTTTATATAAAAGATAGATGAATGACAAACCAAACTACAATGATGTGAAGCGAGAGGGATAAGGAAACTTCCTTTCCCACCCAAAAAACAAGAAAAATAGTTGTCACAGAAAGAACATTCTTGGAAACTGTGAGATGCATATATCTATCAATCTATCCATGTATCTATCTAAGGTTCTAAGATACATATCCTTAAAAATGTGTACACTACAAATATTATAATTGAATTTTCTTCGATCATAATAATAATAATAATAATAAGTTACAAATAAATTAACACCACACACGGTATAATTAATAAAAAATCATAATTAACATTATATTATGTATAATTAAGTACAAAATAATTAAATACGCACAAATGTGCCGTCACTTCTAATACTATTACAAAAGAATATTTGAGATGGTGTTGACATAATATGATATTTTAATTTTTGAAATACTCTTTTATAATCTATTTAAAATGCAAAATTATATAGAGAGAAATTTCAAATTTGAAACCAAGACTTTTAGGGTTGGTTTGGGATGTTCTAAAAAAGTGCACTTTTTGACTTATTGACTTATATGGGTTGAGTTTTGGTTGGGTTTGATGTGATGTGTTAGAGAGATGATGTGATTTAAATAAGATGATGTGATTTAAATAGGATAATGACTTTTTGACTTTTTGTATTATTTAGTAGATGCCAAACTTGACCTTAGTCTAGTAGACAAGACTCTTAATGCTTGAATAACATAAATATTTTCTTTTAAATTACAATTAAAATATATATTTTTCAAATTTAACAACATACCTGTCGAAAGGCAGACACCATATATACAATAAACAAACAAACAATGAAGAGGAAAAAGAAGGGCATGACAACTTTCTTTCTGATCGTATTTCTAGAATAAACAATTGTATAGGGAGTTTTTTTTATTTTTTATTATTAGATTTTGATTAATAAGTACATTTGCTAATTGACTACATATTATAAGGCAAATTACACTTTATCCCCTTAACTATCACCATTTTCATTTTATCCCCTCAAACTAAAATTGATACAATGTAC